AAAGAAAGAGGGTGTACGCTGACACGTCGCCTGCAATCACCGATACACACATCTACAGGTAACTACGTTATATTTATCTTGTAATTGATTGGGGCAATCATTTTCTGTCAACATAGGTTTACTCGTGTGTTTTATCATTTTGATTGACACGGGCAGGATTGTAGATGGGTTGAATTCCATGAAGTGGGAATGGAACACATATCTTCCATATGGGATGTGAGTGCCATGGTTTTTTGGAAAGGCAACGTACGACATCACCATGGTGATACATATTTGCGTGTAATTTTGAAGGATGAGCAGGTGTATTTTGAGCTCATTTTTTTAGACCATGTCTAATTTTTTTCTACAGACTATTATTATCTATCTGTTGGATCTAATATTCTTACAGGGAACCAAAATGAAAGTGGACCAAACCATGAGGTTCGACCGTTTGCTTCGTGTAGGAGAATGTTATGACTTCATGAGAGTTGGCTTCGCGCCTACTCATGTTGGTCCTTTGGGCTACATCTTCCGTTTATGTGCCAACTACTTTATGGTTCTATCTCCACAAAATATGGCTAATGCACCACCGAGAGAGCTATGGATTTATCAATGTCCTCGTACCTTTATGGAATTCGAGGATGTATACGCTCAAGCTGAGTACTTTTTTGCAGGTGTACCTCATACGCCTATATTTTAAAATACATAGTTAACTGTTCATGCTCATGTTTCATCAATAACTATCGTTTGTGTTTGTAGATGTCATTGGTATAGTTGTGCATGTGTCTAATATTCGAGGAAGGGATGACGTAGGGATGCGATCGTACAGATACGTGGTGCTGATGAATGAAAGGTACTTAGAATGAAAATTTTATCATTGCTCTATGCTATCAATTTTTTATTGTTTGATGCTAATTAATTTTGTAACTTATAAGTACCGCTGCATCATAATAACCGTCAAGTATACACACATATGCCGTCACTTATTGGAATGGCGGTGAGCGGCATTAGAGTTGTGTATTTTAGCTAGTCTGCATGTACAAATGAATAGAAAGAGATGTACTGTATCATTGATGTCCTCATATGTATTGACTAAATAAAGTATTAGGTATTACATTTTTTTTGCTCGTACATGATAAGCGGAGTGACCACTACTGATGATTTCAGCGAATTGGTATTCAGTCCTATTTATAATCAAGCGCATGATTTTCAAAGTGAGGTTCTTTTGGGGTAATTCATTGATTTAATTTATTGACTACTGACCCAAAAGTTTTTTATTTATTTATAGGCCTACGCAATCGCCTGCTTGTTGATGAAGCTAGACGTCGCCGAGTTCAAGAATTTGCTAAGGACCATGTCGCGTCTCATAGATTTAGAGAACTAAATAATATTAAAATTATTTACACGCTTGTGACATGCACTTTGAATAGATGATGGACATGAATTTAGTTTAATATAATAGTCAATTTGTGTATTTTCATTGGTCAAACAGGTTCAAAATATGTGGATTGAGTAATGTTTGTCTTACATATTTGATTGCTTCATTTAGTTTGTAACATCGGAGACTTCTTGCCGATATAAAATATTATTTTAGCCGTATCACGGAAATATCTATATAGTAGAGTTTGTGAGCCTGCGGTATCGTGCTCATAGTGACTGTTAATTTCACAAACTTTGCTTTTTGGATTAAATGTCAGTTTAATGTCTTACAATATTGTTATCTTATCGTGTGATCCGTGTGTTTTTAGTATAAAAATTTAGTTGTCTTGTAGTAACGTACGGAACGTACGGACACGTTGCTGATAAAATGAAAAAGCCAAGTCAAACGGTACCGTTGACGACGACGATTGACGAGCTCAACGTATGCAGCTCCGCCAGTGCGGCAGTCCACCACACCGATCATAAATAAATAAACAAACACTTAAAACAAACGTTGGCGTCCATCTCTGACCGCGTGTCCGCTCCCCGCTCCCGGCTGGCGTTGCAATTTGCAGCTGCAGCTGTTGCACAGCAGCAGCAACCCAATGAGATCCAAGCTCCTTAGCTGGATGCTTCCATATGCCCAAATTAATACGGCCTCTTCGGCTGATCCAGTTTCAGCTTGTTTTAACTTATTCTCTCTCACATAACACTATTGAATCAATCGGTCGAAAAGGGTGATAATCCTTTAATTTGCAGCAGTGTACGTGATTTGTTATCCTGCTTTGTGCTTTATACCATGATAGTACTAGTATCATATAAAGATACCAGAGTTGTTATTAAAGGGTCCTTTTAGTTTTATCAAAAAAGGGGGTCATTTTAGTTTTTCTCCTCGTGGGTCACTCTCGAGTCTGGACGCACGCGCTCACCTCAGCACGGCAAGCACCTGCTGCCGACTGCCATCGAGGCAGCTTCTTGTCTGTCGGGGCGCTCTCGGTTCTCAGGTCGTCGTCAGGTTATGCTCTCGCTCGCGCGGCCGCGACGCGGTGGACGGCAAACAAGACCCGAGGGTTTGGTGGGGAAACGCGGTCCGGGTCCGGGGCCGGGTCGTGCGCGTCGTCCGTTTTCCTTGGGCCCTCTCGGCGGAGCGGTGGTAACTGGTGAGTAGTAGGCACGCGGGCCAGGTCGTCCGTCCGTCGTCCAGGGGCGGCCGTACGGGGTTCCTGATCGGTGTATCGGTGCCACGGTACGCGGTGGGGGCTTGGGAGCGCTGGTCTCCTGCCGAGTGCCGACCTGGGACGGCCTTGTTCGGCTCGCTGAAATTTGGTTGAAACTGGCTGAAAAACACTATTCTGGTTAAATTGTTATCAGAGAAAAATATCGTTTTGGTTGGAAAAATAAACCGAACCAATCGGTTTCTGGGTAAGCCAAACGGAGCCTACGCCGTCCGTGTCTGTTTGTCCGCGTCGGCCTACGTGTCTCCCTCCTCGAACGCGGCAGCTTCTTCGGCTGGGCGTGCGTGGGCACGCGAGGGTCGCCGTTCCGGAGCGCCTGATGTTTGAGAGCGCAACACAAGGGGCGACGAGCGCGGGCGGGCGGGCGGGAAGCCATGTCCGGTACGCGGGAGCAGTCGTCCGGGTGACTAGCTCGGTTCCTACGTGTTGAAATATCGACCGCGCCCTACAGTTGCAGAAGCCAACAGCCCAACAACCTTGGACGGACACGGACCAGTGGACCACATGCCCACATGGTGCTTCTCAAGTTCTGGTTACATGTACAATTATTCAAATGCTGGATACAAAAGTGCTTGTCACGTTTGGGGCCAGTTGCATGCACCTTCACTGTGCCCGGGAGAAGCTAGACCTGCATGTTTCATGCTAGCGCGTTGGGTGACGGAGGCGACCAAATACATATCTCGACGGGACCATACCACCATACTAAGTCCCGAACTCTGTTACTTTTTTTTTCCGAATTATTACACAACACAAAATGCAGATACTCATACATGCACGCGCATACAACCTATCTCCATGTTCACTTCCGAAAGATTGAACCGACAGGTTCTAATATTGATGAGGTCACCGTAGACGCCTTGTTATCGAAGAGTACGTCACCTATCACTAATCACTAAGAGAATAATGTCATTAAATAAATCCAGAAAAATACGAGCACTCACGTCAAGTCGAAAACTTAAAACCTGAGTGTATAGATTCGTCACAGAGAATCTATCCTGACGAATCTATCCTCAATTTGTAAGAAGTCAATGCGATGGGAAATCGACTTTTTCTCGATGGGGGTAAAACGGTGGAGGCAGGTGAAGGTGCATGAATCATTAGTCACGTACTCCCTCCATCTAGAAAAGATGTAATTCTCATTTTTCGAGAAGTCAAACAATTTAAACTTAAATCAAAATTATATAAACAACTATGAACACTTATAATATAAAATAGGTATCATTAAATTAACTATGAAATATATCTATTTAGTAAAATTAGTTGTTGTAAATGCTAGTACTGTTTACTATAAATTTGATCAGATTTAAGCAATTTAACTAGCATATATTTTATAATTGCATCAGGGAGAGAGTAATCACATACTAGTATGTCGGTCTAATTTTTATGAAGCCAACGACCTTTATCCTTTCGTGTCAGGTTGTCCTAACTATAAATATGTGTATAGATAATAGATAATATATGTTGCGTCATCGAGTTTGTGCTTTTCTGCCCCAATGCAAGATGCTTGTGACATCTTTTGCCATTGCATTGTGATAGCACAATGACATAACCATGCTAATAAAAATCGATGGGAGAATCTAGTTTTCTTATTTGCAGTTTTATTTGCTCCCTTGTCACTTCTATTGCTCAACTAAAAAATCTGGTAACATGCATGGCATGTTGGCAATAATTGGCATGCCTCTACATACATCTATACTACGAACATCCACCTCTATGAAGAGTTGTCTGACTTTCACATAGGTGTCATGGCAACTAAAATCCTTGTCGTCTTAACTAAAATTGGTGCTTGCACTGTTATTATTGCTTTTGTGCTAATATAAAACACAATGCAACTCAGCTTTTAACTGCGCAAAAGGTTTTTACATTTTTTTATAGACACTCATATATGATATATATAAGAAAAACAAAGGTTAGTATAGAAGATGAACAACATGAAACAAAAACGATCTTAGAAAATAAAGACTTTATCAAAGATCAAATTGGTCCTCTAACACCTGCAAGGAAGAGAAAAGGTATTTTATATTTTGCACATGGACAAAGTCACAAAGCCGTCAAATTTCCAATGGGTCACGTTCATGCCTAATCCATGGGCCTCATGTGTTCCAAACTTCCAATGTCCGGGCCTAGAAATCTAGTATTGGGCTGATTCAGCTCAAGCACAGGCCCCAAATCGGGCCGACACGTAGCAAAGTTTGGAAAAAAAACACCTCGAAGTTCCCCATATTACCGTTCCAGCTCTCTTCACGACCCCAGCGGCCAGCGCTCCCTTCCCCACCTCCTCGTGTTCCTCCGTCCTCCTCCCCTTCTCGTCGACGAAACCCTACGCGCACGCGCTCCCAAGCCCTCGCCGCCGACGCCGCGGTCACGATGTACGCCGACAGGACCTCGGGGCGGAAGCGCTCTGTAATGGACCGCCTCGGGTCGGGCGGCGCCTCGCGCTCGCGGTCTGATGGCGCAAAAAGGTACGCCCTCGAGCTCGCCCGGTTCAAAATCGTTGCCCGCTTCGCCATTCCCGTGCTTGTTGGCGCTACGTGGTCGCGACTTCTGGGCTGGATCGACAACCAGTGAGTGGTGGCTGCGGAAATGTTGTTTATGGACTTCGAATCGAATGGTTCGTGTTGCTGGTACTTTTAAGGCTTGCTTGCAAAAGCTGAAAAGCTTATTACCTTCGTCCTTCGCCAGTTGTGTTGTTTGTATACGGGATCCAATCGGTAGTTAGTGTATGCAATGCTTGTGGTTGATTGTGTGATTCGGCAGATATATAGATGCTTGTGGTGCTGTTGCTGCTTGCTACAAATGTGATCTAGTCATTGTTTCGAATTACATTGCATTCTTTCTTAATTCGTGTAGAACTAATGGGCAGACCAGCAAAGTGTGTGGATGCACATTTTTGTTCCAGTTTTTTATAGTTTATGGGTTCGCCCACTTTCCACTTGTACAAATGGAAAATACACTGGGTTTGCTTGAGGTGAAACCATGTTTGCTACTCCTGTTGTTGCTCATCACCTACCCATTGGTGTGCATTTATATTTTAGGCCTGTTTGGATCGGCTAAGGCTAATTGCTAGCCAGAGCTAGAAAATAGCTAGCTAAAAATTAGCCTACTAACTATTAGCCTGTTAATGCTTGGATCCCCAGCTAATAGGTACATACATCGTAGCAATGAACTATTAGCCCTTGTTATACAGTTGTGTTTGGCTAATTGACTAACAACTAGCCAAGAGCTTGGCTAGAAATTAGCCCACCCATTAGTATTGTTTGGATGGGCTAGAGCTATTTTTTAGCTGCTAGTTGTTAGCCCATGGGATCCAAACAGGCTCTTATACGCCGACCACATCTTCTTATTGCAGCCTTAACCATGCAATGCTTTGAATGGCTGTTGTGTTTTCACTTTCTGAGAATTACAAATTGTTGATGTGATCAGTTAGTTCAGATATCCCATGTTATTCAGAAGGAGAATAATCTTATTGTTATTGTTTATATATCTCTGCTGGGATTTTGCAGGTTTCACCGGGATGATGGGACGTGGAGACGTGAGCTTTATAAGGATTCTAGAGGAACTCAAACTTCATGTAAGGGCCATTGTTCAAATAATTGTGAACATGCCTTGATTCCTGCTTTCCTTCTGGTAATTTACCATTAGCTTGTTGCTTCTACTGTGTTTGTTTTAGCTGAACCTACTTCCAGAAATCTGCAATCAAACCAAAAATCTCAGGTGCAGCAAAGGATTGAGGTTGTGAAGAAACTACCAGTTTCAGATCTTTGTGAAAAGTTATCTGGTGTCCCGAGCCAGCGCCCTCAACTTAGCAGTACTGTTCAGGTTCCAAAACCTATAAAAGAGGTTATTAAGAGCGACAAACCTGTTCAAAAGAGAGAACCCCCTCCAACTGCTCCCCCTCTTGTCATTAAGAAAGTCAGTGCACCTGCACCCGAACCATCACCATCTGCACTACCAAAGCAATCCCAGGACAAGGTGAGATGGTTGAGCATCTATGTTGTATTTTCTTACAGGATTGTATTCTGATAATTATTGCAGTTCCACTATTTGTTCTTCTGGAATGGGAAACATCATACCATCATCTTTTCTTATTTTCCATTTGCTGTGGCGCTGTCCTGTGAATATAATGGACTACATGACCATTTGATGTTGGAGTCCCTTTGATGCTTGTACAACCTTTGGTTCTGAATTCTGATCTATTGCATGATTAATCTTCTAGCTCTTTAGCATGTTTGAATTCCGAAGTTTCATTTGCCTATTCCCTTACTGGCACTGCTGTGTCTAAATTAAAGGGCGTACCCAGTGCAGAGAGCTCCCACTCTGTGCGGGGTTTGGGGAAGGGTGTCAGTGGCAAGCCTTACCCTCGCCTGTGCAATGCGAGGAGACCGCGACTCGAACCCGGGACCTTCCGGTCACAGGCGGTAAGACTCTACCGCTTGCACCAGGCCCGCCCTTCACTGCTGTGTCTAAATTCTTGTATGAAATTTGGTCTTCATTAACACTCATTTCAATGCTGTAATAATTTGTTTCTTTGATATGTGTAGGTTGATGCTTCGCTTGACAGTTTACTGAAGTCTCTTGATCTAGAGAAGTATTTGATAAATTTCCAGGCTGAAGAGGCACGTTTGATATATGTGGCAATTTCATATTGTGGGTGTAACTGGTGACCCTAAATATTTTGTTAATGGCTATTCATCTTTCAGATTGATATGAAAGCACTGGTTTACATGAACGAAGAAGATATGAAGTCTTTAGGAATTCCAATGGTACTGCAAGGACTTTGCCTTTTTCTTACTTGCCTTTTTCTTTCCCCAACAAGGTTGGCATGCTTATCTTGCTTAAATAAGAGATCTCTCTGGGTTGAAGCAATATGTATATATTTAAGGTGGTAGAATTTGATAATTTTATTAATTCCATGCTTATAGATTGACAGAGCCATCCTAAAAGTGAACTGTAGCAATTGAGTTACTAACTTATGAGTTATGAACTATGCTAATGACTTCTTTTTGTTTTTGAACTATTTTGAATGAGTCGCACCCATGGTATAGCCTTTGTTATATGCTTTCTACTTGTTGAATACTCATTCAGTCAGACCACCATTTATCCATACTTTTTGTCCCAGTTTGTCTAACAGGAATAACTTTGATCGGTAAACTGGATTAGAATGGTCTGATTAGTTGGCGCTCTGTATTTTCTCTCTGGTTATCATAAACTTAAACCAGATGCTCTAAAGAGTAAAATCCTATTCCCTCCAGTCGAAATTATAGTTCACTTTGGCTTTGGGCTAAGTCAAACTGCTCTAACTTTGACCAAGTTTCTTTGAAAAATATATTATTATCTACAAGTTCAAAATTAATTCCCTATGATAACATATTTCATGAAGAATTTATAGATATTGGTGCATTTTTCTAGAACCTTGGTCAAAGTTAGAGAAGTTTGACTTGAAACAAAACCAAAGTGAACTATAATTTGGAACGGAGGAAGTAGGTACTAACGATATGTTCAGTCAATGTTTCAGGTAGCGCCACATGCATAGTACATCGAGCTATTGCCATGTTAGTGGAAATATTGATTTGCCCTTTTTGATATGCATTCCATGTTTTTCTCTCCATTTTCTACTACTGAATGTACAACTGAAAAATGGCAGCAATGCCTGATCGGTTGTGCTATTTGGGCTGCTAAACAGTAGCAGCAGCAGCCGAAGTAGCTCAAGATCAGCTGATTGCATTATTGCCCAGCAATCATTTGATTTAAATCTACTTCGGTTTATTGTGGATATTCATTCATTTGCTTCGTGTTTACAGGGTCCCAGGAAAAAGATACTATCAGCAATGGCTCACAGAAAGAGGAAGTCTTCGAAGTCATTGCCAACCAGTACCAGTTGAGCCATCTTTAAGCTTGTGTGGTAGCTAGACAACTTGTTGATCTTGTATAGGATTAAGTCCACTTTTGGCCCCCTCAACTATTGTGTTGGTCTAATTTTAACCATCAACTACAAAACCGTCTAGTACCGGCATCTTAACTGTCAAAATCGTTCACTTTTAGCACCTGGCGGGGGCAATGCTATTTTGACCGACGTTGAGCGGTTTTGACGAGCCAGCAACAAGTAGGAAAGCGCCAGGCAAGCAGTGCCACTGCACCAGGCAGCAGCAACGCAGCGCATCCACTCATCATCGACTCATCGTCCAAACACCCCCGGCCGCGGGCGGCTGCGCTCGCTCCACTGTCCTACCCCCCGCGCGCACAACACAAGCAATCCGCTCTTGCCGCCACGCCGCCCGCGTCATTTCCTCAAGCACCTCGCACGCGTCGCGGCCACCAAGCCCGCGCCAGCCTCCGCCTCCTCGCTCGCCCTCCCCTCGCCGTGGCCGTGGGTGCGGCTACGGCGGCTCCGCGAGCTAGTCCCCGCTGAGGCCGCGGGGCGGCTGCTGTCGTCGGCCGCGGGCTCCCTCATCGTGGCGCTCGCCTCCGCGTCGTTGGTCCTCGGCGACATCGGCGTGGCATCCGCGTTCGTGGTCTCCACGCTCCGGAAGCTGTAGGCGGACGAGCTCGCCACCGTGCGCCTCTTCCAGGAGAACATGCCCTCCGTCGTCTACATCACCAACCTCGCCGTCAGGTGGGCCTCCCCGTCCCCGTCCCAAGGCTTGTCCGCCATGGACGCGGCAACTTGCTCGCGCTTGCCCGATAGCAGCACACGTCTCAATCGCGCTCGCTCGCCGGCCATGGCGCGGCCGCCTGCTCGTCCGGTGGCCCCCGCTCGTGAGCCCGATGGGGTCGTGGTGCCTTCACCGTCGAGCATCGAGGCGTGGGAGTTGCCGGGGGCCGGTGAGCCCAGCAGTGGTAGTGGCGCGGGTGCAAAGCAGTGGGGCGTGCTCGCCTGGCTGGCAGCAGTGCAGCAGCTGCGCTCGCCGGCCATGGCGCAGCCGCCTGCTCGTCTAGTGGCGAAGCAGCGCGCACGCGCGAGCCCGACGACGGCTCGACTGGAGCCGCGCCTCACTGTCTCATCCCCGTCGGCGCCTTATGGCCCCGGTGGCCCGGTCACCCCATCCGTCGTCGTCCCCTAGCTCCGGCCGCCTCGTCTGTCGCTGGGGCGGACCTCCTGCGCCCGCAGTGGGGCCGAGCTTGCCTGTCTGAATACTGCCGCAGTCGGAGGAAGGAGAGGGAGGGAATGAGCGCGGGCCTCACATGTCACTGAGATGTAGCCCAGCATCCTACGTGGCGGTCAACGCCAGCGTGGCGTGGTCAAAACCGCTCAACGTCGGTTAAAACAGCCTTGCCCCCGTCCAGGTGCTAAAAGTGAACGGTTTTGACAGTTGGGGTACCAGTACTATATGGTTTTGTAGTTGATGGCTAAAATTAGACCAACACAATAGTTGAGGGCCCAAAAGTGGACTTAGGGTCTGTTCGCTTGTCTGAATTCTGGAGGAATCTGGATGGTTTGGAGGAATGCTGGAGGAATTTGTGAGAGAAAAACACTGTTTCGGATGAAAAAATAAGCGGATCAAGCCGAGTTTAAGGGCACGCGAACGGGGTCTTAATCCTCTTGATATGTGCAAGTGCATCATCGGCCCCGTTTGCTTCGCTTAAAAAAACAAGCCGAAATATTTTTTCGGTTGATTTGTTGTGAGAGAAAAACATTGTTCCAACTGAAAAAACAGGCTGAAAAGTATGGATTATAAGAGAAAGCGAACATGCCTAACTGGTTGTTGATCAAGGCTGAGGCGGTGTATAAATAGATTTAATCGACTTGCAGAGTTAACTCCACTGACAGATTCCTATCGATCAAGGCTGAGGCGGTGTATAAATAGAGAACTCCGTGGTGTTTGTAGCGCTTGAAGGCAACTAAGTGGTTGTTGATGTACCTATTCTGTGTTTTCCGGAATATTTGTTGATCATTGGGTGTTAATTCATGATGATGCCTTGGGGATTGCTTCCCTTGCCCTGCCGACTGCCCTTCGGGGCTTCGAGGCCGCCGCTGGCGGTGGCTTTCTTCGCTGCCTGTTTTTGGTAACTTAGTTTTAAATAGCGGACTATTGAAAATAGCACTAATTTTTTTCAAGAGCTGCGAGGCTATAACGGTGCCAAGATAGATAACGCTTTTATAAAGAAAAAATAAAAAACACTAATAATTAATGAAAAAACATGGCAAATAAGAAATTCGACAAACATAAATATATTTCTAAGGTTTAACAAGTCTGATAAAATTACAAATATGACATTACAACATGATTCATGAAAGTTCTAAAATACCAAATTAGTAACAAATGATAAGTAGAAAATAACTAATTAAATTGTCAAAACATATTAGTATTGGCAAAATCTGAAATAGTGTCGCTAGAACGCTCAAGGTTAAAATTAGTGTAGCGGCACAAATAAAAATAATTTAGTGTCGAGTCTCTCCAGCGCTATAGCCCGCTATTTTTTTTCCACGGTTCATCGTAAGGCGCTATGGTACGCAGCCTCGAGTCGTGTCCCACTGCTTCACAGCTGCGCTCGTCCGCTCGAGAACCGGCATTTGCTCGACGCGTATCTCGGCAAACTCGAGGAAGGCGGCGGACCCATCGCGGTGGACCGGTCGGCTTACTGTGCGGCTGTGCCTCTCTCTCTCTCTCACGTGCCTGTGTGCGTGTGGTGTGTGCATCGAGCATGTGCGACAGTGCGAGGGTGTTTCGTTCCGGTGCAGCCCGAGCCCGAGTCGGACGCCGACGCGCAGCACGGGCAAATCCGCACCGTATATATCTGTGGGCCGCCTCCTTTCACCCGCAGGCCGCATCGCAGCCCCGCACCGCACCGCCTTTCACCGTTCCGTTCCGTCCCATCCCCGTTCCCGTGCAGCACTGAACACAACCCTGCCGTGCTCCCAACCCCGTGCCCGGCTATGGCGGCGGCGACCGGCGCAGGCGCGGTGAGCGAGGGGATGCGTCGGCTCACGCAGCTCTCGCTCGTCTCCAAGGTCTGCTCGGAGCTGGAGTCCCACCTCGGCGTCGCCGACCGCGTCCTCGCCGAGTTCGTCGTCGACCTCGGCCGCGCCTCCGCCTCCGCCGCGGCCTTCGCCGCCGCGCTCAGGGACCACGGCTCCGAGCTGCCGGACTACCTCGTCCGCTCCCTCCACGCTGTCATCACCGCCATCCCCGACACCGCCCCGGCCCCCGCTGTCCCCGCCTCCCGTGGTGCCCACGGTACAGGGGCGCGCGTGGACAGGGCGGCGGGGGAGGACGAGGACCACGAGCCGGAGCTGCACCAGGTGCGCCGGGGGAGGGTCACCCGCGTGGCCGACGCCGGGTGCTTCGTCCGCCTCGACGGCGGCCGCGAGGGCCTCGTGCACGTCTCCCAGATGCCCGGCCGCCGCCGCGCTGGCGCCACCGTCACGCGCGGCCAGGAGGTGTTCGTCAGGGTCGCCTCGGTGGACGGCGCCAAGCTGGGGCTGTCGATGCGAGACGTCGATCAGGATACCGGGAGGGATCTCCTGCCGATGCGTCGAAACCCTGGGGAGGAGGACGCGCCGAGGGCCAATCCGCCAGCTGATCGCGCTGGAGCCGCTGGGAGGAGGAAGGGGGTTTCTGGGATTTTCGTTCCCGATGAGGACGAGGGCGAGGCTGGTCCTGCGCTGCGCAGGCCAACTAGGCGGATGACCTCGCCGGAGAGGTGGGAGGTGAAGCAGCTGATTGCGTCGGGGGTGTTGGATGTCAAGGACTACCCGGTGTTGGATGAGGATGATCAGGGGATGTTTTACCAGGAGGAAGAAGTGGAGGAGCTTGAGATTGAACTCAATGAGGATGAGCCGGCATTCTTGCGGGGAAAAGGGCGATCCTCGGCTGACATGTCTCCGGTGAGGATTTCCATGAATCCTGAGGGGTCGATGAGCCGTGCGGCGGCACTGCAGTCTGCGCTTATTAAGGAGAGGCGTGATATTCGCACCCAGGAGCAAAGAGGAATGGTTGATGCAATCCCCAAGGACCTTAACCGGTCATGGGAGGATCCCATGTCAAGTGGTGGAAGGTATCTGATGCAGGAGCTGATGGGCACTGGACTATCAGCACAGAGTGTGCCGGAATGGAAGATGACATATGGGAAGGCTGGTACATATGGGCAGAAGTCGAGGCTTTCGATTCAGGAGCAGAGACAAAGCCTTCCAATATTCAGGCTGAAAAAGGAGCTGATCAATGCTGTTAATGACAACCAAGTTTTGGTGGTTATCGGCGAGACTGGCTCAGGGAAAACAACCCAGGTTACGCAATACCTTGCCGAGGCAGGATATACTACAAAGGGAAAGATTGCGTGTACTCAACCTCGCAGGGTTGCTGCAGAGTCAATTGCAAAGCGAGTAGCAGAGGAGGTTGGCTGTCGAGTGGGTGAGGAAGTTGGTTATTCTATACGCTTTGATGACTGCACAGGACCTGAAACTGTCATCAAGTACATGACAGACGGCATGCTCCTACGTGAGATTTTGATGGATGGAGACCTGTCTTCTTATTCAGTGGTCATGCTTGATGAGGCACATGAGAGAACCATCTACACAGACATTCTCTTCAGTTTGCTAAAGCAGCTAATTAAGCGGAGAAGTGACCTCAAGTTAATAGTCACTTCAGCCACTCTTGATGCAGAGAAGTTCTCTGGTTATTTTTTTGATTGCAATATTTTCACAATTCCTGGAAGAACGTTTCCAGTTGAGATACTACATACAAAACAGCCAGAGAGTGACTACATGGATGCTGCACTGATCACGGTATTGCAGATCCATCTGACTGAACCCGAAGGAGATATCCTATTGTTCCTGACTGGCCAGGAAGAGATTGATCATGCTTGCGAACGTCTCCATGAGAGGATGAAGGCATTCGGTGGGGACATACCAGAGCTGATAATTTGCCCTGTGTACAGTGCTCTTCCTACCGAAGTTCAATCAAAGATATTCGAACCGGCTCCTCCTGGTAAGAGGAAGGTGGTCGTGGCCACCAACATAGCGGAAGCATCTATTACCATAGATGGCATTTACTATGTTGTTGACCCCGGCTTCGCAAAGCTAAATGTTTATAACCCAAAACTAGGGCTGGATTCACTGGTTATCACCCTGATCTCTCAGGCGTCAGCTAAGCAAAGAGCAGGGCGTGCTGGGCGTACAGGTCCAGGTAAATGTTACCGTCTATACACTGAGAGTGCCTATCGCAATGAAATGCCACCAACAACGACTCCAGAAATTCAGAGGGCCAACTTGGGGTCGACGGTTCTTAATATGAGGGCAATGGGAATAAATGACCTTTTGTCATTTGACTTCATGGATCCTCCAGCATCTCAAGCACTCATATCGGCTATGGAACAACTGTACAGTCTTGGTGCCTTAGATGAAGAGGGTCTTCTTACCAGGCTAGGGAGAAAGATGGCCGAATTTCCACAAGAACCACCTCTTTCTAAGATGCTCCTTGCTAGTGTAGACCTTGGATGCAGTGACGAAATACTGACAATCATTGCAATGATTCAAACTGGGAACATATTCTATCGACCAAGGGAGAAGCAAGCACAAGCAGATCGGAAAAGATCGAACTTTTTCCAGCTGGAAGGTGATCATCTCACCCTACTCACTGTGTATGAGGCATGGAAGGCAAAGGGGTTTTCAGGACCATGGTGTGTTGAGAATTTCATTCAGGTAAACTCACTAAGGAGGGCACAGGACGTGAGGAAACAGCTTCTTGAGATTATGGACAAGTTCAAGCTTAATGTCATCTCTGCCGGGAACAATTCCACCAAGATAGGGAAAGCCCTTGCCGCTGGATTCTTCTTCCACGCTGCAAGGAAGGACCCCAGTGGAGGGTACCGTACCCTCGCTGATCATCAGCAGGTTTATATCCACCCGAGCAGTGCTCTCTTTCACCAGCAGCCACAGTGGGTGATCTACCATGAAATTGTTATGACAACGAAAGAGTATATGAGGGAGGTCACGGCGGTGGATCCAAGATGGTTAGTAGAGTTGGCACCGAGGTTCTATAGGTCGGCGGACCCAATGAAGATCAGTAAGCGAAAGCGCCAAGAAAGGATTGAGCCTTTGTACGATAGATACAATGAGCCCAACTCGTGGCGCCTGAGCAAGCGCCGCTGGTGATTTTTCATCATTTCTTGCAGATCTTTGATGTAATGCTACTGTAGTGTACATATTAAGGTGCTCTTTTAATGCATATGCTCGGATGATTGCAATGCATGAGATATGTAATAGTTTTCTCTTCTTAAAGTTGTAAGGCTTATAAGGAGTACTCTGTCCCCTTTTGAACAGGACGCCAAATGATGATGAGCTTATCACAGTGATTTGCTTGTTTTCTGCTGCTGCTGCTGCTGGTTTGATTGAAACTGATTGGATGTTTATTACAGTGTGGTTACACATTAAATCTGGGTATCCTTATATGTAGCAAAAACTATCATATTTGAGAAGATACCTCTTATGACTGGATCTGTGATGATATACAACAGGTTGAAAGATGGACCAATGAGGTACTGATTTCAGGTCTGGTGTTGTCCTTGTATTAGCCTTGTGCTGTTTGAGCTTATAGCTTTGTAGGAACCTTCTGTTTTGATGTGCTCCGATCTGTGTTTCCTTTGGCTGGATTGTTGAACTATTCTTGAACAATAAAATGCTAGTTTCATGATTATTTGTGCCAGATTCTGGAGGTTATGTTTTTGTCTTACATCTTCATTTTTTAAATGCCAGGCTCCAACACCATTGTGTTTTATGCTCAGTTAGATCCTGCTGTTGCTGGAGCTGTGCACTGATGCTTTATTTTCCGTCTTGTGCTGCATTTGGATGGCTGGTTAAAGATTACAGAAGCTCTGTGAGACAAATACCATGCAGAGACAGTTGTTGCTTCAGTTGTTCATTTATTTTCTGCTTTCCCCCTCTGTTCACTCTTTGCTGACCCCTGACCTGGCTTTTACGCACAAATTCCTCCTGTAGATCACAGGTTGCACCGAACAGAAGTTCAAATCATGTAGAGGTATGAAGCTGCAGTCTGAAATTTGAAAGTATTCATCTTGCTTAAGATGAATTTCTGCAAGACAGTGAAAGCAGCAGCGCATCAGAAAGGCTGCAAAACTCTCCATGGCCGCTGCAACCGCGGGCTAGGCATGATCCTGCTGGCAATGCCAATGGAGAGTACTCATCGATGACAGCCTTGGCACGGCTCAGGTGCCTTCCCTCACGATCATTCTCATTGTCAAGTTCTCAGTTAAAAAACCAAAGTATCTGTGCAGGTTCCCAGTTCAAAGAGGAAATCTATCAATCGTGGAAACTTTTATGTGCCTCCTTTTAGGCTTATAGGCACTTGACATTGCTTGGGGATCTATGAGGCTCCGCAGACACTGGGCAACACAATGAGACCACACTTCTGATGTTATTGATCTTCAGAAAGTACTATGGGCAATGGGATTTGGCATTTGGTGGTTCATCAGACTTGCGGTTAGCAGAAGTGACTGCGCTAATCCCTTAAACTGTTCGATTACTGATTGCAACTTTTGGAGAATATGGCTGTGCGGTGGCACACGCTGATGCTGCTTCGTGTGCTCAATATGCCCAAACGCCCTGCCATTTATCTCCATATGTTCTCATTTAGGGCTCTTAACATGTGTTTGGAAGTTTCATTCTCAGTCCTCGTATTCTTTCCAACAAAATGATGTGTGATGAGTTTCTGTATATGGACTCTGGACTAAAAAATTCAGGACTCAGGAGGCATTCAACTTGACAGAAATACCAATTACATTTTCTTCTGTTTGTATCTTGTATGACTCATGAACTAAGGAAATGCTGACTAGACAATTCAGTTGTATACTGAATATCATCATCTAATGCTTGAGGTACACCAAAACTTCAGTGTTACTCTTTATTACTCTTGTTGATTTTCTTAGTGACTTAGTTTATATGATCTTGTAAGATGTAACCCAAACAAAGGAATCAATCTATCTGTGAGTAGGCTGTTGATTCAAGAGGGAAACCCTAAGCATGAAGAAAGGTATAAGTTACTGCAGGAAGAAAGAAGTCACCCGAGTCTCCTGAGATCACCACAAGACCCATCTGGGAAGAAAAGACAAGAATGAAGTACAGAAGAAGCAAAGACCTAATCCTCTACATCTAATTTTCATGCTCCCCTTTCCATTTGCAGTAATGCATTGCTCATTTCTCTACTTATAGAGGAAGAGGATCATACATCAGCTTGGCTCAAGGATTAAAAAGTGAGGAAAGAGATCTGAAAAGGTAAATTTCCTATTCATAATTTCATCAACTTGTTCTGTCATTAGAATTTTAATGCAACCTGGAGATCTTGTGAATACTTCATCAAACTTGTTCAATCTTGTGCTTTTCCATTGCTTGCACTTTCTGGTTCTTGTGCTGCTGCTTTATAACCTGTAATTTCAGGTTAGCTTTTTCTAGTGTCCTATTCTTCCATGTATGATTAAGGCCAACATACTATTAACATTAACATACTTACAGGTCCTAGATGCCTCAAAGAACACAAATGTTAGTTCTAATGTAAATTGTAGAACATTATAGCTTTCATGTTAGACATAGAACACAATAGTTGCACATTAAGCTCCTAAAACAGAGCTTAAATTATGTAAGATCATGGGGGACATTTACTCATTGGTAAATTGTTAAATTGTTTCTGCTTACGCAACTATTTTGTCTAGTTAATTATTAGTTGTATGCAACATCTGCTTGAACTGAACCAATAGTTTCAGATGGCTATCTATTTCCCCCATTATCCATTCCCTCTAGTTTTGCCTTTCTAGCAATTGGGCTGCGCTTATTTTTGTCCATCTATCTTCTAGAGATGGCTGTCCCACAAGTTGACAAGAAAATGCTTGGTGAACTTGAAGCCATGGGATTCCCAACTGCTCGTTCAGTTAGGGCACTCCATTTTTCAGGTATGTATTTTCAAACAAACTTACTATGTACAGGTTTGCATCAATGTTTTTCTGTACCAAAGATAGGTTGATAATACACCAAATAGAAACTATGACATTTGGTCCCTTCTATGGTTGCAAAAGTTATGTTTGTGTATTTGTGCCCATCCAGCTATTCTTCCATGGTTTGTGTGTTTTCGCTATTCACTAATGGCATTGGCAGTTGATAGATATGCCATTTCATAAAAATGGAAATTATGCAAAGCTCTAGCAACATATTTGTTATAAATATTCAGTATATTATTTCTTTAGTACGTAGTTAAATGAATTGGAGAGGTAATAATATGTCTTGATCAGGTAATTCCAATCTTGAATCTGCTGTAAACTGGCTTCTGGAACATGAAAGTGACCCAGACATTGATCAGCTACCATTGGTAGGTTATTTCTTAACAATGAATATTCTTCATTAGCAGAAGTCCTTTCTCATGAGCATTACTCCATGTTCTAAAATTATTCTCAATAGAGGGAACTGTAAGGGAGTGTTTGGTTGCTTGCTGGAGGTCGCCATGCCACAGCTGTGGCTCGTCATAGAAAACGAAGGCAGCTGCTTGGTTTGTAACGCACCTGAGGCTGCCACACAAAATCGCAGTAGAAAAGTTGCCAGTTTGCCACATAGTGTGGCGGCGAAATTTCACGCCACAAGTGCGGCACGCCGCACCTTGCCGCATCTTAGGTGTGGCAGGCGGTGGCTGGTAACCAAACAGGAAGAAGTTTTCACTTCATGCAATTTGACAGCAAGCTAGCCTGTACATATAAATAACCACGAATTATTTGGTCTGAGATTGTAGCTTGGAACCTTTTCAAATGTTTCTAATATGAGGCTGTGAAGCAACTGGCATCATAATACTTGACACTATATTTATATTTTTCGATCAGGTTGTATAGTCATGTGAACATTACTGTCACAATGTCACTACATTTGAAACAATTTGTTTTGATTGGTCCCTTGTATGGTCTAGGTTCCAAGAGAAATAAGCATTGAATGTGGTGACACATCAAATGAAGTAAGAAATGACGTTCAAGAAACGAGGTTTGTTTCTGTTCCTTAAATGATTTCATAGAAGATTTTCTATGGAAACGTCATAGTACCATTTCAGTGGAAAAACTATCAAATCCCATTCACTAGGAAATGGAATTATCAAATGATTAGTGATCATGTTAGTTCTTGTAAATGTGCTTATGCATAATGTAAGTTTAATAGGAACAAGTCATTCAGTTAAATGCTTGTGTTCCTGAATAGTCAGATATACTTGGGTGGCTCAATGCATGTATTGATCCACATTTCTTTTTCTTGCTATGTATGTTGTTGCAGTGTAAAATGTATGACATACTTATCTTGCAGGGATACTGTGGAGGAGCAGAAACCTGAAGAACAGACTGAAACTGGAAGACAGAATGTACTTAGTTTCTTCTTTTTTGATATATCAAATATTTCCTTTAAAATTCCATACCATTTTTTTGAAGTAAAATTTCATACCATATTGAGTTACATGCACCGACAAATTTACCCAAAAGCTTAAGCTATGCAGAATGGTTGGACTGTAATCATGCTTTTAACATTCAACGAGTTCGCCTACCAATATATTAGGATTTAGTGTGTTGCTACCACTTGCTAGCATCTTTCTTTCAGCCTCATATGGGCTGGAATTAGTGTTCCATTCTTTGTAACATTTTTTGTCACACCCAAACTTCTCTCTTAGGAGTCATCCCAGTTGGAACGAGAACCAAATGCAGATGAACAGGAGGAACAAGATAGAAAGAGGTGTGTACCTTCCTTTTCATTATTAGTAGTAAGCTGCTCGCATTTTGTTTCACACATTCACCCTAGTAACACACTTGTACTTCTCAGGATATTAGCACTATACAAGCAAAAACGAGACGAGGAAGGAAGAGCAAGAGGGCGAATACGAAATCAATTACAAGAGGATCAGGTATTGCGATTTTTTCATAATTCTGAGTAAAAATGTAATACGTACTACAGCAGGAAGTACAAAATGTGCTTTCTTGCACTGTCTTAAGTATATCCTGTGGCCATTTTCTTGTCCACTGAATGTTCCTTATTGTTTCTATAGAGGGAGAGGATTCGAGCTGCTAAAGATCTTATGGAAGCAAAGCGAACTCTTGAGGAAAATCAAAGGAAGCGGTATGTTTCATATGCATGTCTCACATGCACTATTTCCAACTCCAGATTGCTTCTTGAAGAAGTGATATTTTTGTTTACTGTAGGATGATGGAAACTCGGATAGCAGATCAAGAGGAGGAGAAAAGAGCAAGAGAGAGAATACGACAGCGTATAGCAGATGATAAGGTCTGTTGCAGCATGCTAAAATTCTGCTTAATTTATACAAACAATTCTGTAGTCCTTACTGTAATTTTTTTCTGCATGCTCATAATTCATCCAATAAATCCTTTATTTTTTTGACATTTTTATTATCTTGGATTTCCGCATTGAAAAAATCGCCACTATGTTCATCAGAGTCAGATGAAACATCGCAGCCTTTCTTTATATTTTTTGTGCACTGTGTAGATTTTATTAAACCAAGTAGTTCCCATTGGTTACGATCAAGGTTACCTTTAAATCATGAATTGTGTTCAAGGTCGCTTGCTGTCACAAAAGTGACGTCATTTTCTTATTCTTTAGCAACTGCATCTCATTTGTCTATTTCCTTCAAAGTTTTCCAGTGATATGCGTCCCGATGCCTGAGTCTTATCCTTCTGTGCAGGCAGAAAGAAGGAGAAAGCTTGGTTTGCCGCAGGAAAATCCTAGTGCTTCAGCTGCAGTCATAACGCCCACAAAGGTAGAAATGTCTTTCTACCATACTTCTACATCTCATGAGTGAAACCTCCAAGCACATTCGTCACATACATTTTTAACTGCAGGTAAAACATGTCGAACGCGTCGTAACATCAGAACAGCTGAGAAACTGCCTGCGAACTCTGAAGAAGAATCACAAGGTATAAAATGATCCCTTGCAGATGCTAATTTTGGTCCATCTTGCTCTTAGTATTTCAACTGGCACAGAAGCATTGGCGATGCTGAATATGATGCTTTGTGAATATACTTGGTTTAGATCAATGTTCCAGGCATGCTCAGCATTTGCCTTTCTTAGCCTGTCTTTTGATCTAATATAGGATGGGTGTCGTTGCGTTTCACAAAAAAATTGCTTGTCACTAAACAAATACAGAAATACGACTGGATAAGGCATTAGATCTCTATGTTACTCAGACACCACAAATCATTGATGAATGTTTTTTTCCTACACCTTACTTGTAGGAGGACCCTGCTGCAGTCACAAGAGCGTACCAAATATTGCTCAAGATCGTTGCCAACATAGTAAAGAACCCAGAAGAGGAAAAGTTCAGGAGGATCCGGCTCAGCAACCCTGTTTTCAAGGTAGAAACCAAGAGGACCAGGCGCACCCTGTATTTTTCAGAATGATCTGATCTCATCTCACCCCCATATCTTCAATTCACACATCGTGCTCTCTGCAACAACAGGACAGGGTGGGCAGCCTGCAAGGTGGCGTCGAGTTCCTGGAGCTGTGCGGGTTCCAGAGGCTCAGCGCCATGGGCTACCTGGTGATGCCGAGGGACAAGGTCGACATGGCGCTCCTCAACGCCGCCGGGGTCGAGATCGCGTCGGCCATGGAGAACCCCTACTTCGGGCTGCTCTCCAAGTGAACGGAACAGCCATCATCGCTGCTTCGTCTGCTTTCCTACGAGCCCATGATACTGCTATGGATGTACAGTACTATCACTGGAACGGGCTTTAAACTGTAACGGATCGGCCCGTCACGGCTTGACGTCCCTGTCGCCGGTGACGTTGTACAGAGTAACCCCCGGCGAAAATATAAACGTGTCACAAGGCCATGCGTGAAGTGAATTGGAGAATCTCATTCAGGATAAAGCGAAATGCACCATGCACAATGGTGTAGGGTAGGGGATGGTGCATTTGGGTTTTCGAGTCGGGTTCCGCACCGTACAACTCGTACACGGGCACTTCGGCAGGCAGGCCTGAGGACAGGGCCAGCCATGGTGACATAGGGCTGTTTGTGAGGGTGGGCCGGCTGCGCTCATGGACTGCAACTTGCATGTTTGGTGCACCTAGCCCAACTTTGGAGCCTGGCCCGCACAAGATCTAAAGCAGCTTGGGCCGGTGCACCTAGCCCAACTTCGGAGCCTGGCCCAGAAAAACGAAATCTCGCTTCGTTTTTTCACACTCTCCCCAGCGTTCGGCGCCGGCACGGGCACAGGCACGGCCACCTCGTTGTCCTCCACCTCCTCCACGTCCTCCGGCCGCGCCTCCCTCGCCGCAGCGCGCGCCTCGCTCATGGACCCGCCTGTCCTCTACCCGTTCCAGGAGCTCGCCGCCCGCTACTAACACTTCTCGCTCATGCTTGCCAGAGTGCGGGCTGCCTCCACCGCCATCAAGGCGCTGCTCCCTCCATCGCGACGCGCGCAGCCTTTTTTCACTCTAGTGTCGTCCCCGGCGACGTCCGTGCAGTCGCCGCCGACGTCGCCAGAGGGCTCGAGTACGTCCACCACCACGCGGTCAATGACTCGGCGCGGCCCGTCCCAAGCTCCGGCGGCCGCGGGCAAGCGCAGTCCTCGGCTCGAGCTGCTACCGCTTGCGCCACAGATGGCGAGATCCGGCCGCCGCCGCCTCGGGCGCCCGAACGGCAGCGGCTCATTGCCATTGCAGGTTGCCGCCCGACCAGCCCCTACCTCGCCGTGGTGGCTGCTCGCGGCCTCTCCTTCCTCGGCTCCGCCCTCATCTCGGCGACCACAGTGGCCCACCCCTCCCCCCGGCTCGGCCCCGTCCGGCGAACCCCGCAGCCTCGTTCCCTTCTCGTCCGGGCGTGGACACGGCGAGTCATTGCTTGCGCGGTGACCACTCTTCGCGGGTGGAGGCACTTTCGTCGCCGCCTCGACCTCTCCTCTCTCCCCCCCCTTCTTCTTCCTCTGAGTGCGCAATGGCGCCGAGAGAAGGACAATGACGGCGGCGGCGGCTTCTTGGCCGAGGTGGGTGAGTCCATGCCGCTCGCGCTGCACGTGTTGGATGAAATGGCAGTGACAACGTGTGGGGGGTAATGTTACCATGTTCTGAGTCCAGGGTCACCACATCCATCTGTACATGCTAAACAAACAATATCTCAATCGAGCTCGGCTCTGCTAGGTCACGTTACCCAACAAGAGCAGTTGTACCACTTGGAACTGGCCTGGGCCTGACGGACGGGCCGAGCCGGCCTGAACCACCCTCACAAACACGCCCATGGTGTACACGAGCTGGGAAGGGTGAGGCAGTGACTGTAACTGTGTTGGCGATGGGGGCAAAGCATTGAATGGCTTTTATTCTCTCTTGGAGCGAGCGAGGGAACGGATGGGGAAAAGACCCGTGCTGTATGCCGGCACATGACATGCTTTGTGCAACGTACTTGCTCGTCTTCGGAGCTTCAATTCTGGGCTGGCGAGCGGATGGGATCATGGGATTGGGAGATGTCACTACTAGACTACGTCCTGGAATGCATGTGGACCACGCCACGCATACGCTTCCTTCATCCTTGGGGCTTCGGCATCCGGCCATTTATTCCAAGGTACATTGCTACATGTGAGCAGTCTCGTACGTCATCTTATGTGGTGCCACGTAGGATTTTTGCTGATATAAAGGAAAGAGAGAAGGGAGAGAGAAAGAAGTCGTTGTTTCGCGAAACAATCATCTCATGAGCTAAAATTTAGGACTATAAGACAACTATTTTATCATTGTATGAGTTGTTATTCCCATGCAGCTCACAACTCTACTTTTATTCTATGCATAAATTAAGGAATTACGAGTCACTACGAGACAACTTAAAAAACAATCATTGTATACGTTGTCTACTAAGTTGTCTTAAAATTACGTGGCACCTATATGAGACCACTGGTGAGACAAGATCAATGTATTTGCCCTAAGGAGCATCCTAAAAGGCCGCAAGCTTGTGTCGATGTACCGTTTTCAGAAACAATGCAGGTTGGATGAACGCACCGAAACCGTTTTAAGAAACGATGCAGGTTGGATGAGCGCATCCTTATTCACTTCGTTGAAAAGTCAGGCTAAAAAGTACTGTTGACTGATTTATTGTGCAGGGCAGCTTTGGTACACCACACGGCAGCAGAGGAAGGAGCTTGGATCACATGGATGGATCTTCTCTAGCTCCTCGCGGTCCTTGATTATTGGAAGATGGGCTCTGCTGCTGCTTAAAGGCAAGGGATGGATCTGCGTCCGCATCTCACGCATGGAGTACGGATGTGGCCATGTACTGTACAGTACGCGGCGTCTTGTACCGACTCTTTGTTTGGACGTATGCATGACCCGATGAACGTCACAACAGTCCTACTGCTATAGCTAGCCAACGGGCCGGCCCGGCACGCATGGCCTCTCGGGCCGTGTCTCTTTGGGTCTTGTGCCTGGCCTTCGGTCCAAGCACGGCTCTACGAGCCGAAATCCGTGCCGTACCGGTCCGCTTAGTATGGCTAAATCCACGGGCCGTGCCAGCTCATAGCCCGGTGCCTTTAAAACATCTCAAATTGTTTCTCTTATCCAACACTTCTCTATCTACACAATCCATTCATATTTCGGTATTTCACATTCACAAGTAATAAACTGATCATAGATTCTAAATTCTAACAAAAGCCACCAAATAAGACAAGGGAATTAAGATAACTGAGTTGTTTGTGCAATATTGTTTCATTAAAAATCTTTCTAGGTAAAACTCATCTTTGTGAGAAACCCTAAAAAGAAAAAAAGAGTGCATCACAGCTCTTAATTAAGTCTTAAACCGTTGTTCACTAGTATCAGTCACACATCACAGATACAAAAATAACAGATCACTCTCAAGTCTCACACACTAAGTACCAGCAGAAGCCACATATGCAGATCTAGATGTGCCAACCCTAGATGTGCTAGCAGCAGCAGCCCCAGATGCATCTTCATCAAGATAAAGATTCTTGAATGAGTCTTCCAACTCTTTGTTGTCAACAGCATGCTGTAACCTTATTTCTTCTAACTCCCAATCCTTTATGCAAGCCAGCATCTCCACAGTTTTAGGCAATAAGCGTCGTCGCCGCTCTTCAATTATCCTTCCTGTCAGGCTGAAACATGATTCTAAAGAAACAGTAGAAACAGGAACAGACATAATATCTCTAGCCATTATAGATAGGATAGGATATGTTAGTTTGTGGTCACGCCATCAAAGAAGTAAGTCGAAGTCATCCTCATATGCAGTGACATTGTCACTGTCTAGATAAGTTGTGAGCTCACAACCAGTAGCAGAAGCAGGTTGAGATGAAATGCGAGCAGAGGCAGGGGAAGGACCAACAACACTAGATGATCCAGGGCCTTCAAAGATTATTTCCTATGCCTATTTTTTCTTACCTGTATGGCTTGCAGGCTATGCATGTCTCTGAGACCTAGCTGCACCAAACTTTCTCTCATATTTGTTAAACAACTTGTAAATTTTAGTTTTCACATCAGCATAATATGAACTGTAATCAACACCAGTGTTCTCTTTAAGTGTTTACAGAACATTAAATAAACCTCTCAACTTAGCTCTAGGATCTAGAATGAAAACAATTGAATATAACAGAGGTATATTCTGCCAGTATTTAAGGAATTTAAGCTTCATAGGATAGACAACAACTATTAGATTTTTATCTTTTTCACTTGCATGCAAATGAGAAGCAATGTCTAGCAGATGGTGCAGAATAAGTGGACTAGTTGGACAGTAAACACTAGAAAGAACAACCGTGGATTCATAAAATATTTCTAGAAACTCCAATATTTTTTCAACTATATACCAATCCCTTGCAGTTAACAATGTTGAGCCATAATTTGCATTAATGAACACAGAAAAAACATCCTTATATGGAACCAAGTGTTTAAGCATAAAGTATGTAGCATTCCATCTAACATCCATATCTAAGCTAAACTTTCTAGGTCTAACACCCTGAGCAATATAGTAGTTCTTAAACATAGCAATTCTTTGATTAGAAGAATTTAAGAAATTAATAGCAGTTCTAAAATCTTCTATGTAAGGTTTGAACCTCTTTAAACCAGATTTTATAATCAGATTAATGATATGACAAGCACAACGTTGATGCACAAGACTATACTTACGCTGATTAGGATTTACAGACTCAGGTGAAGGATCACAACCTAAATAACCAGCAAACATAGGTGTCAAAGTATCCATAGCCTTAGCATTAGAAGAAGCATTGTCTAGAGTTACAGAGAAAACCTTGTCAATCAAACCAAATTTCTCAACCACACAAGCAATTTTTTCAGCAATATTATTCACCAGTATGCTTCACCTCAATCAACCTCAGACCAATAATCTTTTTTGTAACTCCTAATCAGCACTCACATAATATGCAACAACACTAATGTAGTCCTCCTTAGCATTATCAGACTAAATGTCTGATGTCAAAGCAACAGATGAAACACCAGACAACACAAAATTCTTAAGCATATTACGACGTTCAGTAAATAGCTTACTAAGATCTCTAGTGGTGGTCTGTCTAGAAACCTTAGTAAACCTAGGGTTATGAGCACGAACAATGTACTCCTTCCATCCATCTGTCTCACCAATACCCAACGGCAAATCAAGTCTAGCAATCAAGCAACACAATTCAGATCTAGCAACATT